CGCGTGGGACGGGGCACTCGTTTTTTTGGCGCGGGGTGACGACATTGGTGCGCGATGAGAGCCTCTGGGGCTTCATGTTTGGGGCGCTGCGTAGACCTCGTGGCACTCCGAAACCGGGGCATCTTTCTCAGTTTTGCGACGCCGAGGCGGGCGAACTGCATCCCCACCTCGGGGATCGCGAGGATGTCGAGCACACTCTTGACCGCCAAAAAACTCGGGGCCACCTCTCAAATACTTGTTGGGTGCGTCCAAATCCTGCTCAAACTGGCGTGTCCACGGATTCGTGCCTTTGGCAATCGTGCCAACGCCCGTGAAAGTGGAAAGCCCCTCGAGTCCCTCGAGCGTGCCAAACAGCGCATTCAGCGCCTGTGCACAATCTGAAGGGCAACGAGCGAAACGCCGCCACTGCCGCGACCGTCGAATCAGACATTCAGCCCTGGAGTCGGCAATCCTGTGAGCGCGAAGGGCCCGATCCTCGGACGTGGGACGATAGTTTGGTCTTGCCCCGGGGCGCCCGGGGTCGAACTCAGGTCGACGGTCGCGGATGACAACGCGGGCAATGAATGCCCGTGGCCGCGGCGTGGAGCCAGCGGAGATTTAGCATTGCCAGAGAGGTGCGTCTCCAGGCCCGAGTGGGCCGCGCTAAGGATCGGACCCGAGAAAGCCATCTTTTCCAGCCTCACCGAATGCGTGTCTCCGAGGCCCCCCCAAGCCTCCTCCATGCTGTGCAGGTATCCCCCAACCTCCTCATCACTGCCGCACGACGTCCTCCTGTCAGCTGCTCCGTGCTCCCCAGATAAGGCGACTCTGCGGAAGAGGCCCCTGGCAGCTGGATCCCCTGGGGCGATGGGCTCCGAGTGGCTGTGTAGGCCCCAGGGCCCGCCATCGCAGGCATTCAATTCTCCCTGTCTGGGTTCTGCGAGAACCCCCCCCCTCCCCGCAGGGCTCTGTCGAGGCTGGCGTTGGATTGCAAGACGCGGGTCCCCGCCTTCTGCGGGTTGGGCGCCGACAGTGCCGAGGCGTGATGTGCGCCGTCGGCGTGCGTGCTCGCGGAGATGTCGCGCGCGTTGCGCGTGGCCGCGCACTTCGGGGCGGGCTGCTCCAATGGCTCATCCTGAAACGCGGTGGACTCTTGGAGCTGCCCCTGCGTCCAAGCACCTATTGGCCGAATAAAACTGCGCGCATGGATCGCACTTGTTCCCATCCCCTATCCCGGATCCATGGCGAGGTTGGTAGCGCCGCGTCTGCTCTCCAGCCTGCGCCCCCATCGCTGCCCCAGCGTGGCGCCGGCGGAAAAAAAAAGCGCGACGCTGGGCGGCCCCCGCCGCCTCGCCCGCTGTCCGCGAGGGTGCTGCACGCGAAGCCGACGGGGAGCCATTGCTCATGTCTTTCTGGATCTGAACGTGTGATCTGCCTCTCTTGCACAAGCGCCAGCTGTGCACTTTCGCCGCCGACTGAACGTTTTGTCTGCTACGATGGGGCGCGCGTCCGTGATCGAGGGGCGGCGGTGGGGGGCGTTGCGAGCGAAGGTGTAGTCCACGATGCCGGCGCTTCCCACGCGGACAATGACAGTGGGCCTCTTCGCTGTGGTGGTCTGCTGAAGATTCCCATCTGAAGAATTGGAGGGTGCGACTCCGATGGCACTGGCGCGGGTTTCTTGTCTTGGCCCTGATGCGCCTCGAGATATTCTGGAACCTCCCGGGGGGCTTCGGGCGCGGGGCGCGCGCGCGGCGGGTGTCTAGGCGCCCGCGGGCCCGATCGCTGCGATGATTACCATGGGGCCGCTCGCCCGTCATCTCTCGCGCGGCGCGCTGGAAGATCCAATGCCGCAGCTCCGGGGGTGCAGAATGATCTGGGCTGTAGCGACGTCGAGCGGCTCGCTTCAATTTTTTCCAGGTGCGAAGCCAGGCATCCTAAGCAAGACAGGCAGCTGGAGTTCCGGGAAAAGTACTCCGTGCCATGCTCAGCTATCTGCTGTAATGCGCCCAGCGCCGGTTGGTCTGGGGCCCCCAAAACTCTAGCACGAAAGCGCCCCTCGCGGGCCGACGCCGTCATCGTCTCTGTCCTTTGCGCGAGCGGGGGAAGGACGCGCGCAGGTGCGTTAAATGCTCGCTGACCGGCACCTCTACAACGATAACCAAACACATGCACCATCTTCCAAAGATTGTGCGTGTTTGCCACGCTATATTGTAGCGCTGCTTCTTCCGTCGAGTCATCCATCCTGGCATTGCCCATGCGTTTGTTCTCGGCTTCGATATTCTTGTCAATTTCCTGCAGCTTCAATGGGTCTTCCTCGGTAAAAGGTAAAACAACCACCATGGGCGTTTTCTTTTTTCTGTTTCAATCTTGCCTTTCTCTGCTCCAGGCGCGGCGTGAATGGGGTCTATCGGCGTTGGCGTTCAGCCTCTGGATGAGCGGCGGCCCTCGCGTCCTCGACGAAGTGGGCCCGGGCGATCGATGGGTCTGTCAGCATCGCGTCCGCGTTCCACTGATTCTGGCTGGCCTCTGACAATCGCTCCAGCTCTGCTAGTGTGGGTGCTCCCTCGAGACCGCGATGCCGGAGAAGTTTGCCAATCAAGTCTTTGTCCCACTGCGGCATGCGATCGTGCTGGGGCGGCGCTGCGGGGATGTGGCGAACCTGACATGGGAGCGGGGCGTGACCCCGCGGTCGAACATCAGGGATGGCCTGAGGGGTGCGCATGGCGTGGTTGTGTCCTGCAACGAACTATAGCGGCCACCGCGTCCGCGGGAACCTAGATGTGGTCGGGCGAGCTGGTGGCCTCGGAGCCATAGTAGGTGGGCCCAACTGCGAAGAAACTGTCAACAATCGCAAAGTCCTCCATTTCCATGATCCTCGACAACTCTGCAGAAACTTCATTCTCCATTCCCCGCGAGTGCGGCCCGAACTTGCGGCCGTTTCAGGTCGGCGTGAGAGACCATGTGCAACTCGCCAATATCCGAACTGGCAGTTCGAGTCAACCGCGAATACGAGTAACAAACAAGCCTTGGCCTCCTGGGCGCTGCGAAAAATCCAAGCTGCAAGCATTCGGCACGTGGACCCACCATGCTCGAATTTCATGTTGCTGGGAGGCGGGAAGTAGCCACTGATCACCGTGATGTCGTGAGCGCCGGACCTGAGTCCCATCATGGCTCCACGGCCTGTAAGATGCAGTGGCGGAACGCGCAGATCCATGACATGGTTCCTGCGGATCATCTAAATTCCTGACCAAGATGCCGATGCCTGCGCTCTTGTTGGTGTTGCGTCCACTTTCCCAACCCCAGCCGAATGTGTATATACTGTGGTGGGTAGTCCTCATGGTAGTGGCTGGCCCTCGAAAGCGTTGTCTTTTTGTTGTCGCTGGCATCACGATAGTGTCCGCAGATTTCAAAATCTCTGAAGTATCTTCAGCTCGCCAGACATCACTCAGGTGTAAAGGATTGTACAACACAAAATTCAAGAGAGAACTGAACATCGATAGTCGCATAGAAAGTGTGAGTAGGAACTGTTCGGTGAAGCCCCCCCCCCCCCGCTCTCTCGGTGCGAGTTTGGCGCGGGGCCGCGGGGGAGGCGAACCCGCCCCTGTGGCTGCGATCCTGGGCGCAGGGGCTGGAAAATCGAGGAGGATCGAGGATGACCGTAGTGCTTCTCTCCTCGAACTCAAGCATTTTTTTCCCTCGCGCCCTGGCCGCCGTAAGGTGGGAGAAGTGAGAGGGGGCAGGCCTTCTCAGAAGGTGCAGGGGCTTCGGAGAAAGGTTAGACAGCTTCTCAAAGGCCAGAGGCCTCCTGGATCCTCTGAAAAGTGTCCGCCCTTCCTGCCTTCCCCCCTGGGCGCGCCGCCGAACATTTCTGAGGGCCGAAACACAGACGCATCTCATGACTGCTTCTCTGGCTGACCTCACTTTGGGACGCGCACCCGCTGGAAGCACGGCCGATAGCGTGGCAATGACGATGAATACGCGGGAAAGCCAGAATCGAACAAAGACGCCTTCGAGAGGCGAAGCCGGGAAAGACCGAGAGACCCGACACGGAACAAGGCTTCGCGCAAACCCGCCTCGGCCTGAGGCAACAATGCAAGATAGCCCAGGATGGAATCGGTAGGTCGGAACGGCGATCGAAATTAATGCGATCGGCTGAGATCGGCAGCCACGTCGGGAGAAACCGGATCGGCAGGCATCGCCAAGCTAGTAGGCCTCCATGGGGGAATCAGGATCCACATCGGAAGCCGAACTCGGGCTGGATCGGAACCAGCAACCGTCGAGACGGAGGCCGCAGCGCCTCGGAGGCGTCCGAGCTGCCTTCTGCCCCCGCGGCGGGCAGGCCCTGGGCCCCCGAGAGGCCTCTCCACCAGGCGCCCCAACAGGACTCCAGGAAGCACTCGAGCAAAAAATCCGGAGAGACCCCGGCGAGGCATCCGGGAGGCCTCCCTCTCCCAACTCCCTCCAAGGATCCGCTCCCCTCACTCGCCATCGCCATCGCTCGGACGTTCACTCCGTTGTGTGCATTTTTCCATGGTATACATACACACATATATATATAAACAAAGAAAAAGATATCAATATATCAATATATATATATATATATATATATCGCGAGGAATGGTCCAAGATGCTTCTGAAAGGTCCTCGCGAGGAAAAATATACACGTCCCGCTTCCTCGTGTGCTACTATCAACAACCTCTGGTGTGACAACAGACGCTCTTCAATGACTCTGCGAAGTCCCGGACGTAATGCAAGCTGGCTCTCATCGCGCTCGCCCCTGCGCCCGCGCCAAAGCCCGAGCTCGAGCCCGAGTCTCTACTTGCCGTCCATCCTCCGTGCGCTTTTTGGCCTCGCGTGTTTTCTCCCCCCCTTCCCTGCAAGATGAGCCAAGATGCCACGCGCACGCCCGAGCGATGCCGGGCTGAGGCCGGCAAGCGCCAGGGCAGCCCCCCACCGCCGCGGGAGAGGGCGCGCCGCCGCGCCACGAGGCGCCCCCCCCCCCTCCCCCTCGCGCGGCCCACCGCGGCGAAGACCCTGGCCGGCTGCAGGACGAAGCGCAGCATCAACAGCGGGACGTTCGCCTCGCGTGCGCGCCGCACGGCTCCCCCGATGCCAACGCCTCCCCTTCCCGCCGGAAGCCCTGGACGCCCGACGTGGGCACGGACAAAAGTGGGCACAGTGGCCAACAGCAAGCGTTGTAAACAGCCTCGAACGTATCCCTATCCCTAAGATGTGCGAACAAAAAGCGAGGACAATCTTAGGGATAGGCCCTCAAAAACTGAGGGAATTCTTAAGATCGGCATCGAGGTGAGGTGATGTCAAACATAGGGATAGGGATATGTTCCAGGCTGGTCATGTTGTCCCAAACCGACAGCGGCCGCTGTTGGGCAGGCGGCCTTGTCTTCAGTGAACCACGTCCGTGGCGCCGCGGACAGCGAGCCTTGTTCAAAATGAACATGAACTGCTGTCGGGCATCGCGCCCAATCTTTCCGTACCCACCTCGACCGTCCCGAGGAGGCTCCCCCCTCCTGAGCGGCACCGTCAGGGGGGGGCCGGCTCAGGGGCAGGAGAGCCCAGAATCGAATCGACAAATCGAATCGGCAATCGATATGAATCGGATCGGCGGAAATCGGCAGCCAAGTCGGGAGAAGTCGAATCGGCGGAATTCGGCAGGCTAGTTTGCCTCCAATAAGAAATCGGAATCCAAATCGGAAGCACAAGTCGAATCGAATCGGACCAGGAATCCATCGGAATCGAATCGGATCGGAGGCATCGAAACTTTTCGAATTTTCCCGATTCGATTCGGCTTGGGCATCCGCCGATTCGACTTTTCCCGACTCGGCTGCCGACTTGCGCCGATCCGATTCATGTCGATTGCCGATCCGATTTATCGATTCGATTCTGGGCTCTCCTGCCAGGGGGGGACGCCTCGAGCGGAATGCGCCTCCGTTGAGGCATCAGAATCCGCGTCGGAGGCCGAGGTCGAATCGAATCGGACCCGGAATCCATCGACACCGGCATCGAATCGGAGGCATCGAGCGTCGAGCGTCGAGCGAGCGGCAGGGGACACATCGAGCGTCGAGCGGCGAGCGTCGATCGAGCGAGCCCCGCAGGAGGAGGATGAGGAGGAGGAGGAG